CTTGTCATTGTCACAAGTCATTGTAGTGCCCCAAAACTCGCGTGGAACAACTTGACATTTCAAAGACGTAGAGAAAACAGTAACGCACTTTCTTTGATCCATAGTTTGTTTTTTTACAAATGGCTGTTAGATAGCCGATAAAAACCTAGGATGGAGGTCTGGGTGACACTTGAACGCAGCAGCGACGAATGGTAAAAGATGCATCCTCCCATTACAGTTAGGGCAAAAACAATACTTCAACGGTTTCTATGCAACGTGATTTATCATTTCGATAAAATGTTGTTAGCCTGTAGTTGGCTTCAGTTCAGTCATATAAGCCACAAAGAGCAGCTTTAAAACGGGCCCCTACTCATCTGAAAAAATGCGGCCGGAAACCACAAAAAATGCATGGTGTTAGGGGGTAAGTAAATGTACGTATAAAACCACGATTATTTTGACTCAGTTTTACTGAACTACATGACCAAACTCCGAGGTATCGTTTCATACGCCTAAGAACTTCATCCGGTCTCGCTGACAGGCGTAAGTCGGTGCCGCGTCTAGGGTGGCAATCGACATTCGCTGTCGGGGTGGATGAAACTATCGGGGGGGGGGGGGGGGGGGCTAATCTGGCGCTCGTGTCACGATCCCGAGTCGTTTATTTTGTATATCGCCTTGCTTTGAGCGTGGCTGTGGATCGGTGGGTTGTGGACAGATCAAGGCACGTTAGAACTACACCAGCGCGTCTGATCAGTGACATTTTAAGTTATACTGCATTTGGACTGGTTGCAATTGTCTCCAAATAATAAATACCCCCGTCATTACCTTGTGGTGTGTTTGTATCTCCATGGCCCATGACCGTGTGATGTGATAGAACACTTCAACGATGTTGGATATGCTATTAGCATGTAGATTGCAGCTTCCAGCCTCATTCCATGCTGATAGAGTTTGTTGATGCTTGCTGCCTTGTTGTCATCAAATATTGTTCATTTTTAGCATGTTTCTCTATGTGAGCCTACAATACATGTTCTGTAGGCATGTGGCTCATTTAAATTCGTCATGAACTAAAAGAAGATGCATTGGGCCTAAGGATTATATTATGGTGCACAGATCAAGGTCAGGTCAGGTCAAAGACCGCATGAGACATGTAGGATGCACAGCATGATGGTCCAGGGAGTAGGCAGCATCCCCCCCATTTCCTGTAGATGACATTTTGCAGGATGCGGGATATCATGAAGTATGGGCCCTGGTTCTTCTGTTGGATCGCCTGAAACGTGAAATCAGATCGTAGCCATTGAATGCACCACATGATGCAAACATTGCCCATATGAAATGTGGGAACTTTAGCCTATAGCTCAAATCCTTTGCTAAGCTCTGAATGGCAGTCAATAGTGCCTTTAGAAAAATGTTTATTGATCTGTTTTTTGGTGGAAAAGATGGAACAAATGGTGTGAGGATGCATAAAAAACAATGAAAAGGTGTCGTTTTCCCCCCAGATGTCAAAGAGATTCAACACTGAATAACGCTGATTTGTCTTAGGAAAATCGTAAGAGCGTCTCAGGCTTCTTGTATCTATGCCACTCCGCAGCGCATTACTTACGTTCCGGTACTATCGCCTCGGCTACGCCAGGTCATCTTTGATAAGCCAGGTCGGATTTGCCATGTGTGATTCGGTCTAAGCTTTTGAATGTGAAATCTGTGATTTGCTGGAAAGGAACTGACCACATTTGCCCTAGCTTGCCGTCACTACACCTGGCGTCACGCGCCAGGTGAGGCCAGGTGTGCGATTGCACGGACCGGACATCACGCGCACGCGAGCTGTCCATCTAGATTTGCCCGTTTACGACAGCTGGTTTTCCACGTTTAATGCTACGTCTCGGCAGCTAAAGCCGGTGGTGACTCAATCTAACTTCAAAGCGCTGACCAACGCACTGCACGATTTGTGTGGCGAACGCGAGACTGCGCGACGCACGGTTGCGCCAGTAATCAGTCGGGATTGTAGGCATTTCGAAAAGCGGTGGCGAACGCACCACGCTGTCGCCGAAACTATCATCTGGATCATTACATCACCACATGCGCCGCTTCATTGCCCGGATTTACGACCCAGTTGTCGTTCCGTGTATTATCCCATGTAGCCGAATACCACCGATCTACGTTGAGTCGCCGCCGCCGAATACTTGAAGTAAGCCGCCCTGGGCTTGTTTCGGGTTGCCTACCTTGAAAGAAGGTTCCGTTCCTGTAGTACCTAACTTCAAGGGATGCGCCGGAATGCGCTTTGAAGAGGCTGCGGAGAGCGACAGATGCTTCGCGGCGACGTTGGGGAGCGTCTACAGTCATCTATGGATGCTGTTGCTGCCAACGCTGAATCGGCGTGGGCAGTGACGATCAGAGCGGATTTCTTAAGGGTCAGGAGTGCGCAACGAAACCTAGCGGCAACCGCAACCGCAGTGAGGAATTTGGGAGCTTGATATGAAAGCTGAACACGGAACTAGGAATTCGGTCATGTAACGTTTGCAGTTGTAATCCTCGGATGATTACATAAAGTATTTCCGTATCATGGCGGCTTGGTGCCCCATCGGCTTGGCCGTAAGACCAAGATTGGCACCTGTGTACTCTATGGAACCGTTCAACCCAAGTTTTCATTGGTGCCATCTCCATCCATCTACGGCGTCATTCAGAAACAATAATCAGGCCTCATTGTCCGTGTTAACGTTCCCGGAGCACGCGCTGCGACGGGTGGTCAGCAAAATTACTCTATTTTAGTCGGAGTTCCGCTGCCCATTCATCCATGGTGCCAGGCGGAATATGATGGAATATCGCTCGTCGCTTCGCTATATGTTTCTCCGCTTCTTACGCTGTGAGTTATTGAATCAAGGTTTACTTAAGCTGTCCTGTCAGTTTGTGAAATTACTATTGTAAACCAAACGAAGCGTGGTAATTAAGCTAGACGGGATATGCTATCAACACAGGACGAGAGGTTGAGGAGTCATGTTTCCGGTCGTGTTTAGGTAAATCTGACAAATAATAGCAATTAGCTGACTGAGAACTGTCCAGGTAATAGTAAGCGCACCCCCAAACCAGATCAACAGTTGTCCAGCGAAGGGGTGGGTCAATTTTGTCCATATATTGTTTGGTTTGGCGTGTATCTGTCCCGTCTGTCCCATTCTTCGTCGTGCTCGGGCCGCACGGCGAGTCGGCAAATGGCATCATTCGGATATGATGCACGTGCGCATGAAATACCGCGCCGTGCCGAGTTTCTTGGGCACGCGGCTGGCGGCTGGCGCGTGGCACTTGAAGCAAGGTGCTCCTTCGTCCATTGGTTTTGTACTGGTAGCGGTGGAATGCGAGTGGCGCGAAACAGCCAAGCAGCCGTTCGCAGCCCTTCCCACATGTCGGTAACCTCAGGTCGGAGCGACCATTGGCACATAGTGCTGGGTAATAAAAAGGAAAACGCGTGGTGGCAGATTCACGTCGCTCGGGTCCCATGTCCCGTGCAAGGAAGCGGTTAGGACGGTTTCCCTGTGCTGGCTGGGTGTCGCGTTTCATGCCATGCCTCGGCACCCACAGCTGGCGGACGTTCCATGCCGTACCTCGGTAACCAGAGCTGGCGGACGTTCCATGCCATACCTCGGCACCCACAGCTGGCGGACGTTTCATACCGCGCTTGGCAGCCAGTAAGGGTGGATGCGTAATTCTAGTTTCGGAGCGCCGACCAACGTACCGTCCGCAATTCATGGGATCAACGCGAATTCGCGTGACTTTTCATGGCGCCAGCAATACGGCAGGTACGGCAGGAGTATCCGCATCTCGAAAAAACGGTATCAAATGCAACAGGCTGTCGCTTAATCTGTAGCCAGGGTCGCCGCGAAATGTACATCGCTGCATACGCCGACTTACTTTCCGCGTTTACCATGTACTTATTCGTCTCTCTGTGCGCTATCCCGCTCAAGGATTAATTCAGCTATAAGATTGCCGTTGCACATTTTTGCGTCATCAAAATGTCGCCGGCTGATAGCTCGGTCGCCGTCGGCGAGCGTCTTAAGTAAGAGCGACGAACCGCGCACGCGCGCCTGCGGTCGGCAGCAGTAACCTACTCAGGCTACGTAACCTATTAAGTAAGTTATTCATTCGTTGTGGCGAAAAAAGTGAGCGCCAGTGGCGATTGAACGCATTGCTTAAATTCTTGCTGTTAGGAATGTCAGGGAGACCACACATATCCAGCCCAGAATAATTTATAACGAGTGTAATAAGAAGTCGCGAAATTTAGTCATTTTTAAGCGAAGCCCGCTGCTACGGCAAAAGAGCACGCCCACTGTTCTCACGAGGTACGCTGTGGAAACAAGACAGATTCATTACAGCGGCGCTGGCAATAGTAGTGGCGAAATTAGGCGAACATTAATCCGGCTCTGGCAATGGAAGCATGGGCGGTTTCCTTGGACTCCTAAGAATGTCTGACGACACTGACCTTGCAGTGGACACTTGGAGAACAAGATATGACAGCTGGACGATCGCTGATTTTGTCTTAGTAAGCAGGTCGTACGCTGGTTTCAGAGAAATGCCTGAGAAGAGTCTTCTAGATTAATTATGGTGCTACATGCGCCTCAATAGCCTCGACGTATTTATTTTATGACAAAAAATCAGTAAACGCCATGCCGGCATTTTTATCAGGTTCCATTACACGCCATGGCGGGGGAGGGCGGTCGCCAACATGGAGTTTGTTTCCGACAACCCGCATGCGTCCCTGGTACTCATCACATCACACCCGGTTCCTGTCAGGTATCCCGGCAGCCAGGGGTCGGATCAGTCAGAAAAACCTGTTATGATGTTAAAGGCATCCAAAAATAATGCACACTTATATCGTCCACTCAACGCAAGGTGTCTTTGCGTGCGTGTTCAGTGTGTCAGCTCCTTCACTTAGCACCGCAAGGACTGGTCGTTGAAAAAATGTTTAAGTTATGCTATTATTTTGAGTATTTTTCAATTATGGTTGCCATGAGAACCTACCAAGCGTTTTCATGTTCCAGGGTGGTCCAGACAGACGCAGTCATGCCTGAAGGTCCGGAGCTCCATCTATCTTCGCTGTTTATCAAGAGAGTGAGTGATTCAAAATCATTCATCGGCAAAATTGTGGAGCGGCTGCCCGCCAACAGAGAGCCAAGGCTGGTGGATTTCAACAAACGCCTCGGTGACAACGCGTGTTACACTCTGACGTCATGGTCTCGAGGGAAAGAGCTTATGTTGACAGTGAAGCCACTTAAATCGAAATATCCAAATGCATCCTACAAACCGGAGGAATGGACAATTCGCTTCAATTTTGGAATGACTGGGTGCTTCAAATTCACGAAGACTGCTGACACACCCAAGCATGCCAAAGTATGGTAAGTTGAAGCAAAACATCAGATTGCCCCATCATGCGCAAATGACCCGTCATCAACCTGAATGATCGTAGTTCGGAGATATTTTCAGCATGATTAAAATTGACATTCATGTAGACTTGTGTCACATACTCACGTCATATAAATGGGGCCTGAGAAGTGGAGTAACGTTGGCCAGATGAGTGGAAATTGTCCGAAATAGGTTTTCAAAGCGGAATCCGCGTCCAACATACCTTGGAGATAAAACGAGGTCAAAAGAGTCACCCGAGGTCACTTTGGTCATTGATTCCAGCCGACCACGAGAAGTGCTCAAAACTCCCGGAAGGTAAATGTTTTGTCAAGTTACACTTTGTCTGGTCTCAATTTACATCATAAGTGGCATTTGTAGTCTAACGTTTGCTGGTCACCGACATTTCAGGCCAATCATTCTTGCAGAGATTCTAGATTGACGGAATGGGTCACTCAGCTGGCACAACCAGAATTTTGTCTCGCGTTTGACCGAAAGTGCCACACGCGGTGCGAAAGGGCAGCACTTATCCTGACATTCCCCATCGTCTTACCGGGAACGGTGTGACATCGCCCCGTAGGTAAGATTCACGGGGCGAAGGAGAGTGTGTTGTTTACCGTGGTGGGATTTGCCGATATCCAACTTAAAGCTTCGAGGTTAGCAGGTAGTGTCCTGCAGCAGGTATTGTTTCCAAATATCAGGAAGCACTCTCTGTGGATGACCACTAAGCAATAAGATGCGCAAGACTCATTGAAGCTTTGCGCATCTAATGCAGCCATTGAGCATAATTTCGTTTTAATTAACAGGTCAGATTAGATAACAACGCATGACTAGTTTGTAGTGGCGTGAAGTTAACGCCACATCATGGCGTTAAAGTTAACATCACGTCATGTGGTTGTGATAGAAAGATGAATGGGTGAGAATGATATGTAATAGGAGTCAAATTCGAAATCAGTGTCCCAAAATACCATCGAGTTGGCCCATGGCCCGAAGTAGTTAACTGAAGTCAACTTAAATCAGTGACCTCGGGTAACATTAAGGCTTGGACCTCGTGGAATGCTGGCGTAGGGTCCTTCTACACCTATTTGAAAGTTAGATTAAATCTGAGCGTCATGCGCTGTCGTCCGTAAACCGTTTTTTTAAGATGTGCAATATAAAGTATTTTAACATGAGCTGTAATCACACCTGAGTGTAGCGTTATGTTATCCAAAACGCCCATCGCCCCTGGTTCCGTTTCGGTCGTGCTCTTCCCCCTTTTTTATCCATGTGTAACGTAGCTTACGAGGGACGGAATCCTTAAACGCGACCTTAAAAAGTGCAGTGGGGGTGTTATGTGGGCACGGGTGCACGTTTTATCAAAGGGTTTCCCCGATAGAAACAACGCTGTTTGTTTCGTTTCACCAACGCACAGGTAATAGTATTGTGCTTAGTTCGTCTCAGAAGATGAGTCTGATCACTGATGGCGCCTCGCACGGCCCGAGGGTCGGTATCGGAGCAGAGATCGACTGCGACTGCTGCTTCAGCTTCCGCACGGCCGGCGAGCCGTCCTACACGCTGAGCTTCGTGGACATGCGCGGCTTCGGCCGGTGGGTAGCGAGTCCCGAGTGGTCGAAGGACCGCGGCCCGTGCATCCTGCAGGAGGCCGACCTCTTCCGTGCCAACGTGCTCGACAATCTGGCCGTCTCCGTCTTCAACAAGCCTATATGCGAGGCCATGCTGGATCAGCGCTACTTCAACGGGGTCGGCAACTACCTGCGCGCTGAGGTCCTGCACAGGTGGGCAACGTGAGGTGGCGGCCTGGTAGTAAGGTTGGCAGCAACTGGCTGTAGCACCTTCTGACAGCTCGTTTTTAGTGGTTAGACGCGGCTGATAGAAAGTCCTAGGGACGAAAATTGCGGAACTTAGTAAAACTCCGAGGATTGCACAAGTTATAGGCCAATGTAGGAAAGTGAAGCAGCAAAATTTAAAGATAAGTTGCATGCTAATCCCTTAGTCTTGGCATGGAGCACTGAGCATTGAGCCAGCATGTTTAGAACGAGAGCTGGCTGACATCATTTCTAAAATGCCGTAATTTGTTATAACGCATGAGCTCGTTTGAGCATGAGCACGAGCATTGTTGTTTACATCGATCAAGATAAAGACGTTCCCCGCTCATATCTTGGCAGGGTAATGGTGGTAGTGCATCGGGCGAGCTGCGCGTTTGGGAAACTAGAGGGACGTGGTTCGATTCCCTGCGTTACTCCCGCCCCTTTATTGCCCAGGGCGAGGGACAGGCGACGCCATGTAGTCTCAGCAACGCCGTGATGCCAGCAATATGCTGCTCCCTACATGCCTCGGCATCCGCAACATCTCTTATATAACTTTCGAGCTGGGATGACGATACCAGCTCTGGGCGCTTTACAACCAGTTAGTCGTAATCAGTTCTGGAGGTTGTGTGCAACCAGACGTATGCCTAGTTTCCACATTTACGTAATGGACGCAAGATCTTTGATCCTGATTTCAGCTGGTTGTTTGGTAACTATAACCTCCGGGCTCCTTGATTCAATGGACCGTGTTGCAAACCCCGGTCACTCATTCCTGATTTCCATTGCTTTTTTCATAAACAAATCAAGGATCCTAGTTCCTTCACACAGACTAGGGTCTGGTTCCTGGTTACGATTGGTTTGTCACAGACTCGTTGGCTCATTCGCAACCGCCAGCATGGGTTATCTTTTGATTATCACCTGCGATGGAAGGCATGCCAGCTGAAATATAAGATAGCCTGCATATGTCCTGTAATATTTACTCGTGCCACGCGCGAAATATAGGTACAGGTAGCGGTGCACACTGGTTCCTGGCAGGAATTTTTGGTGAGATCCTGGTTTTTGCTGTCTTCGCTGAGCGTAAAGTGGATCATGGCTCTTATGTCTTTAGTATCATTCCAGGCTGTATTTGGGTTCTTGCCAGATACACGCCGTCAGGCCGTATTCCGTGTTGGACCTTGGTTTTTGCTAGATATCTCGGCATAATTGCAGACTGGGCCTTACTTCGTTTTGATTCTTGTGCATATTACAAGTCGGATCTTGGTTCTTGCAAGATCCCTGGTTTAGTGTCAGGCTGGATCCTGGTTCCTGCTGTTTCCTGCAGAACAATTGAAGTGGTCGGTATTGGATCCTGGTTCCCGCTGGTTCCCTCAACAAAGTTCAGTGTTGGATCCTGGCTTTGCTTAGGCCTTCGATTTCACTCCAAACCAGTACTGAGTTATTCTTGCTTCTAGAACTAGGAACGTATACCGGGAGGAAATCTTAGGAGCCTGGCGCAAGTCTGGTCGTAGCTCAAACCAGCTACAGAAACTCTTGCAAAAAGGCTAGCAGAACATGATTTGATGTTTTTATACGACTTAATCCCGCCAAAACTAATGGAGTTATTTTGTTGCGTAGCTACTGTCTGTTCCTGAAATGCAGAATTAAGACAAATGGTGTACAGACAATGCTGTGTTGGGTACCGAGTGGTGAAACGTACGGCGAAGAATGAATGCTTCAGGTACCGGGTGAAGACCAGGTGTTGAAACATGCAGAGGCATTTACATAATGTATTTTCGGAAAGGCCGAGCCTGAATGTACCCCACCAGCTCACGCCGAAATGAGAAAAACAGGTGTTCGAAGTAAGAAAAGGATAGAAAGTAGCCCGATTGGGCCAAAATGTTAACTATGTGTCGCCATATTTGCTCACACCAGTCGGATTCCTACGTTCCGCCGCCGTGACCCACCTGTCTGTTTGACCAGGCTGTCTGTACGCCCGTTTGAGAGCGCACGGGACGTGCTGGCGCCGCTGCCGCTAGAGCTGAAGGTGGGTCAGACGGACGTGCTGCACATGTGCCACCAGCTGGCCACCGAGGTGGTCACCATGGGCGGCGGTAAACGCTACGACGTGCAGCTGGAGGCGCTGGAACCGCAGCCGGCCGTCAAGAAGGAAGAAGGGGATGAGGTTGACGCATTCGAGGTGAGAGGGTGCAGAGTTCTGTGGGGCCTTGCTTCCTTGGGAAGCATTGGTTGGCGTTCGGAATGGTGGAGAGATGCTTTGAGGCGAGCTTGACACCAAGAATTGCTACGGGCGCGCCAGCACACCCACGAACACACGTCGCTTTTTTCTGCAAAAAAAGAAACTCGATGCGCGCCGCCGCTCCCTCCCCTCCCCCCCCCCCCTTCTGGAGCACAAGCGACTAAAGCGTCCATATTGGCGCTGAAGGCACATGGCATCATTGAGGTTCGAACCCGCTCGGAAAATGGCACGCTTACACCAACAAACCTGACGTCGGGAGATTTTCGAAGCGCGCTAATTTTGTTTCAGGCCTGGCTGCAGTGCTACCACCAGCCCGGCATGAAGAATCTGGTGGATAATAACGGCAGGACGATATGGTTCGCAGGCAGCCCTGGGCCACGAGCGCCTAAAGGTACTGCCTTGCATCCGTTTTTTCGTTGTTATTTATTGCGTGTGCCCTCTACCGGTGGGTATTCATGAAATATGTCAATATAGACACAGTATCACAAGAGACCCCGACTTCTAGTTGCAAGCACACCTGGGCTAAAGTTGTTGCACGCATCACGCCCGGCTCGACTCCGGGTGCCAGCCGCTGTTGCGCCCGCCCCTAAAGGCTGCAGCGGTGCGAACCGGCCTCGTCAGGCGCTCGCTTCCTCTGAGCAGCGGCACGGCAGGGGACCAGCTGCCGTGCGCACTCACTGGATACCCAGGAAAACTGCAGGAGGCTTACCAGAGTGGCCCTTGTTGCTATAGCGAAACCATGGGCGCTGTGTGCAACGTCTTCATTTGGATTGCTTGCTGTCTATAGTGCCGCGTGACAGGCTGTTTGGCACGCTTCACTGCGTACGCGAAGTGACTTAAAGCTTTTTGCTTACGATAAGTTTGGATTTGTTACGTGAATAATCGTCTGAATTGTCTGCCAATTTTGTCAGATGGTAAAGCTCGCCATTCGCCGAAGAAAAGGGCTTCGTCCAAGGTTCCGAAGTCCAAGAAGCGAGGGGAGGAAAACAATGAGGATGACCTCGTGCAAAGAGGTGCCAAAGCAGCAGCGGGCAAAAGGACGAAGGCGGCTAGCAACTCGCGTAAAAGGACTTCGTCAATGGTGCCGAAGTCCGAGGAGCCTGAGTATTCGGATCGAGCCAAGAACCTCGTGAACAAACGTGCCAAGGTCTCATCGCGCGAAAATACTAAGATCCCGCATAAAATAAGCGACCCTGAGAAGAGCACGCGTGCGGCTAAGCGGACTAAGAAGTCGGCCTCGTGCGAGGAGACGCCAGCGGTTCTTTGCAGTAGCACGGCTCTCGGTCACGCCCAGTCCGAGGAGGGCGACAGGCGGACGAGGCGGACCGGCACCAGTGGGAGACGGTCGCTGAGGCTGGCTGGCAGGGCCGGTGGCTGCTGACGACGCACTGCGAATGCAGGAGGTGGTCTGTGTCCCCCCCCACGCAACCGTGTACTGTCTGCGCTGATCAGGGACGAGTGAAAGGATTTATTTCCGATGCGTTGGCTCCTTTTGCACTTTGAATGAATCGTTGACTTACGTAATACTCAGGTCTCATCGTTATCAATGTCTCGCTCATTATCAGTACAAAATTTTCCGAAACTGTCCAACCCCCATTTGGAGACTCGTGCTTCAGTGAGCGACCGTGCCTTCGTGTCCACGTTTCCAGATGCGCAAGGCGTTGTTGTACGGCGGTGTTGTTCATCGGTGTCTGGTTGTTTCCAGACACTCGGGGGCGGTGTTGAGTCCCGCACTAGGGTGCTGGGAGCTGAGGCTGCTGTAGATGTGCATGGATGCTTCTTTTTTAATAAAGTGAAAAGCATGCGGAGTCTTTGGCAGAAGTTATGTGGTATTGGAAGATGTCCTGGCTGGCCGATGCTCATCCCAGTGACAGCGGCTGTAATGCGGATGGATTGCCAGCGTATTGCGGATAGCCGACGAAGCGTTGGCAACGCGCCATCGACCTGCCAGAGACGGCAGTAGGGACATCACGAAGCGCGTAATTTCTCGAAGTGCACTGCAGAACCGTTGTGGCCTTCCTCAGCACATGAAGCGGCGGAGCCTACCCAAGGATACTCGGTAGTACTACAAGAATGCAAGGAAAATTCTGCTTTAAACAGCACAGTTTTTCTGTTCAGTAAATATGATTCCCAATACGGCAGTGTTCGATACGGCACCATATCTTGCACGGCGCTGATTCAGAGCCAACTAACTGACTGCCGTTGTGTCTGGAAATGTGCTTACGAAGGTCAGATATGAGCGACTCGACGACTACATTTTTTTGTTTGGCCTTGATGACCGCATGGCTAGTGACATGGCATGATTTAAATGACGTTATTATGACGTCATGGATGCCGAGGTGACCTTGAAACGGTCTCCCTGACAAAGTCTGCACATCGTCGCGGGCGCGCGGCTCAGAAACTAGAGGAGCTTTGGTCTTAAGAAGGGCAGCGCCACGAACTGTGCCGAATGTCTAGAATCTTCAAGATGCATCTTCAGGATGGCTATCTCAGCTCAAAACCTCATACCAATGTGGGATACTCCCTTGAACTCTCCGATGATGATGATGATTTGGGGTTTTAGGGCACATCGACTGCTGTAGGTCATGCAGCGCCCAACCCTTGACCTATCCATACCAATTTTGTTTCGCTATTGGTAGAGCACAAGGTGATAATTGCTCACTGGGTACAGGTTTGGTCAATGCGGAAGCAAGCACATTCGTCTTCCAGCATGATAAAGCTGGCATATAGCCTCGACAAGAACGGAGAGACGATTTTAGAGTAAGTCCCGGAACAGGTCGCATTATTAAAAACTAGCTAAGCTGCAAACCAACGGTGCTTAATACTCTTAAGACACATAATACTTATTTAAAAATAGCCCTACCCAGGCATAACAGCCCAATAGTGGCGGGATACCCTCGACACTTGCGAAAGCCGAGGCACTCGCACAATGGATTTGTTAGTTTCCGGTCGCCGCCGCACGCAATGCGCGAAAATGCGAGACAAACGCCACCACAAGGTTTTGATCGAGCCGCGCACACCATCACCCACACACCGGTCAGCATCAATACACCGATCGCGGCCGGCAGACTAAGATGGCAGCAACGAGATGGCGGAAGACCGCTGCACTGCCAGCCGATCGTTAACGCGAAGGTCCCACCTGTGGGGCATATTTCAAAAGCAGTCTTTTTAAAAAAAAAATCTCAAGGCCAGTTATGTCTGATAATAGCGCTGGACAGTGTCATTGCAGCTGCAGTTGTCACAACCACCAAGGCCAGTTACGTCATGACACCCGCCGTGGCACCTCTTGTGGTGCGAATAAAAAACTGTTTGTGATTGGCCCAGCGAGTGCCAAGGGCCTTTTGTCGAGAACACATTGGTTGAAGTTTGAACCAGTACGTCACTATGGACCATGTGATAATAACATTTCCAAAGTCAATGTGAGCCTCGAAAAGCCACTGCGGATAACGCCGTAGGAGAGAAATCAAAAGTCATAGTGGGACGTTTCGTTGTGTTCGGGAATATAGCTTAATAGCTTCAATTTAGGAATATAGCTAATAGCGGGATAATAGCTTCATGTTTGCTTATGTTTTTGGCTAAACAGTGCTTCAAGCTTGTCATCTTATTCATACAAAAACGTTTTGGCAAATACGTGTGCTGCAAACATTACAACAAAACACACGATCGAAGTGGGCAACTAAATGAATTACTCTCGCAGTGGTGAGCAGTGACCCCAATTTGAACGTCCGCGCAGAAGTGGCTACTTCAAATCAAAATCCGGAACTAGTCAGCAGGATTTCGTGAAACTGGTATGGCTGATCAATTTGCAAGCGTTTGATCCAACAATTCGTGAAAAGTACCAAAACATGCGACATACTTCCTGTAAAGGAAATGTCCCACACTAGAATATATTGAACCAAGCATCATACATGATGAAATAAGCTAACTTGTGATTATTAGTATACTTTTAGCTTAAAAGACTCAAGTCTTTATGACGTCAGAGTCCCGGCCGGCCTGACTGTGTCAGAATTACCACTGTGTCGGACGGGCTGATCCACTTGTAATGCTTCGTGTTTGCTGGAGAGTGTTTGGTGAACCCGAATACCGCTGGGTTTGCTGGACTCGGCGTTATCCTTTCAGTCTTATTTTCTCATGACTCGTACCTCTGCCCAGTTCTTATTATGCAGCACAAAACGTGACTCGTATCCGAAACTTGCAGTCAATGAATGCTATTGGTTGAGAATCTACAGATGTCCGTTGATGGCAGAAATTGCGCTGACGTAAGCCAAATCTGAATAATTCGATGATCACGTTTTCGTTGACTTTGAGCACTACATGGCCAATGAGGTGGCAGTATTCGAGGGACGTCTCTAAGAGGATATGTATCTGGATGGCCTTGAAATGGCCTACACGAAATTGCCCGCAGAAGTGCAGGGGCGTTAAGCCCGAAGACCAGAGGGTTTTAAGTCTTAAAAGGGCATGGCCGTCAATTGTGCTGAATGATCTTAAAAATGAATATCTGAGTTCAAAATGTCATACGTTACGGGTCGTTAACTCAACGCAATATTTCAACGGATAATTTCCAAAACCAGGAGCTAAAGACCTTTCTTCTTACATCAATTTCATGTCTTTTCCACTCCTCGATAGACTCGTGAGCATCAGCATAGGCCAAATCGCCTCACCAGTAACAGTGCTCAGAAGTCCAGCAGCCGTTCCTGCCATCGATGCAGATCGGCAGGCTTCGTCCTCCGCAGGACATTGGTCCCCCGCACGAGATACTGAGACACTGTCAACAGTTCCGTTGTCCTTGGTGCTCCCCCCCTCCCCCCCCCCCCCCCCCCTATAACCACCACGACGGAGTAGGCTCGAAGTGGGGACTGACGGTCAACGAAGTAGGATGCAACATATGCTTTGAGACTTTTCTACAGCGGAACCCCTTTGCCCCTGCTGCAAGCCTATCTATCTAAGCACCCTGGACACAGCATCTGACTAGAATGACGTGCGAAGGCCCGGTCGTCGTTTTTTAACCGCATTTGAGCGTCTACACAGTTGTCATCTTCACTACCATGAATTTTGCGTCATAGCTGCATTGGCCTAAGATTGCAAACAACTTAACGTAGGTTTGGCTGTGGCGGTGCACAGACGGAGCAGTCTAAAAACGGGATTTGTACCCAAGATATGTGTTGGAAGGCCTCAGTTTCCAAGTGCATGCGGGTATTGAAAAAAGATCCAGGCATTCCCACCACCGGTATTATGCGGACTCAGATTGTACGTGCCTTTCCGGTCCATCCGGCCAGGAAAATTCCCAGTGCGTTTCTTGACATTGAATACAGCCGCTGTCGCCTGCTTATTGGCTGCAAACTCGGACGTTTTCCTCCGATCGAGCGGACCGTGTGTTTATACATGTCACCGGTATGAAGTGACCGTATCTTGATTGCAAGGCCGAAACGGTTTGTGACGGGGTGATAATCATGCGAAAAGTGAATAACAGCCGTCCTATTGGATGCAAAGCATGTTGGAGGTGGAATATGTGATCAACCATAGCTGTTTTAATCCCGGAACGGCTAGGAGGCGCACTACCAAACATCTTGATGACCCCACGTATGAAAAGAGCGGCCTAGAACGGCATGATAACTATTGTTTTAAAAACTCGTATTGTGGTGCTCTTCAATATGTAAATGCCCATGGGCATCCTCTAGTGACATTTGTTTTTAGTCGACTTTGTCGTCAGCCATGTACTATTGTGGAGGCCAATATCAGTTGGGTGTCTTTGCCAAATTGACCAAACGGCTCACTTGCTGGTAGCTGGGATGTGTTAGACGGTCATCTTCTAAATATTATCTACTTTGATGTCCGTGATGTCGATAATGTTTTTGTTTAAGTCGGCGGGTTAGGTTATTAAAGGTCAAGCCAGATAAAAATGTCCGACCGTTCTTACATGAGGAGCTTATGACACCCACATTCGCAAACATGTTTTGTCATGATCGACCGCATCAACATCATTTTCAGATCATGGGACCAAAGTAGTGAAGTTCATCGTGGGACAAACTGTAGTGGAGTTCTTGGGTCATGATCAAGCTGCGCCGGAGAAATAAAGAACGTACGCATACCGCAGGCATAACTTGCACTGCAATTAGTACACAGTTTTCACTTGATCGGCTTTCATTCGTATTTGGCATAAAGTTACTCCAGTCAGAGGTTTCAATAAAGGCGCATCAATGACTGAAAACATCAAGTGTGCAGCCAAGTAATCAGGCAAGTGATCAGTACACACATCAATGATATGCAGATCCATCAATATGCAGCTAAGCAGATAGCTTTAATCAACAAGGAGAGGCAATGCATCCTTGTTTTACAAGACCATGTTTTACTCCGTTCGCGTGTTCCTGACTCAACCCCCGCCGATTTGCATGATGCGGACTGGCTGGAAGGGGGGGGGGGCGATGTGGACCTCCGGCGTTTCTAAACTAACAGAGAGGTCTCAACGAAATCTTGCGATTGGTACCAGTTTGATATGCTAGTTTTATATCGCACTATGCCAGGTCAAAGAACCGATTTTCGCGAAAACCGCGCTTTTCAGCTTTACATCGTGTGTCATTGATGTGTGTCATTGATGCCCTACGGCGCACTCGGCTGCTGAGGCTATATTGCGTCGCCTGTCTCTCACCCTGGCAGGAAGGGCGGGTACCGCGGGGACTCGAACCCCGTACCCCTGGTTTCCCAGACGCGCAGTGGTTGACGCAGACGCGTTAACCACTACACTACTGGCACCCTTACATCATATATGCGAAACCATGCCTCCTGCTGACACAAATCTTAGCAGCTTCTTCCCTGAAAACCTGACAAGTACTTGGGTTGGGGCCAACTCCAACTCCTGCACATCTCCCGCAATCAACGGAACCCAGCGCATCCAGCATGCTGCGCAACTTACCCCGTCCAGACGGCACCGCTGCTGAGCCGAGGAAAAGCGAAGGAGACGTCGGAATGGTGGCGCCCCTCGCCGGACAGGCTGGGCTGCAACGAACTGAACCGGCTAGCCACGGATTTTATATCTGGCAGTGTATGTGGGACGGCTGCGGTCAGCCGACCGTGAGGTGGATTCACCGAGCACGAAGCTGGGGGGGGGGGGGGGGTGGGGTAAGGTTAGGCACATGATGCAAGCAGTTGACGGCGACTCCCGGACCAGGGGAAGGAGAACACTCCGAAGGGGCTGAGGAACCGGTAACGCTCAAGTCGTTCACAAAATACAGCATCAGGAGGCAGTGTTTTCATTGGGCCGAGCGACCGGCGGGTAATGAATGCTGTGATTTTACCATCTGGCGTGCAAAACTTTGGCTAGACTCATCCGTGTATTCGTTCCCGGGGCTCCACAGATGTTGGTTTTGCTTTAAGCGTGAGACACTAAACGAGGCTTCCTCGACGATCGATACCGTTCAAATGGGAACTGAATTGGGCTCGGAAGTATGAATTAGAGTGTGGTTGCAAGAACGCAGCAATCAAAGACACGGAGGGTCGCAGAGGTGCTCGCGTTAAAGATGCCGCGTGTCGTTGTTGGTATTTCATGACGCAAGACAATTACGTTGGTTATGGACAACAAGACGTCTGTTGACAGTTAAAGCGCTAACGCAAAAGGAATGTTTGAATACATTAGTGAACGCAGGCAAGCAGCTGATGTCAGCAATCGAGGTCCTTTTCAATTTGCACCGGCAACCCAACGGCAACGGCAGCGGCAAAAGCGTACTTCCCAGGGAGCAAAGCTTCTAAAAAGGCGTCTCAATTATTCTAGAAACGCATATGTAGGGAGTCTTTTGTCATTACCATTCCAACCTGAAGTAACTACTTATAGAATGCCTTTCCAAAATCACGCAAAATAAAGGAGTGTTCCACATTTGTACGGTGTTTTTGAACTGAAATAGTCAATCTTGAAGATCATGCGGTGCAATTTGGCATTCTTGTCCTTCTTATGTCCTAAACTCGTCTACTTTCTGAGATACACGCCCGCGAAGATAAGCAGAATTTTTCCGGGGGGACTATTTCCAGGTTACCCCAAGCACCCATGACGTCAAAATAACGCCGGCCGAATTCCATACATAGCCATGCGGGAATCAAGGCCACGAAGCGCATTTGCCGAGTTGTTCATATATGGTGTTCGCGAGCACGATTTCCACACATGACCGCCGTCAGCTGGCTCTCAATCAATGATGTGCAAGGTACGATGGGCGTAATTAAACAATGGCGTATTGAGAAGCGCATTTTCCTAAAGACCAAAATGATGTTGCCTAAAAGCAGTCATTTCCAGTTAAAAAGCGTACAACTGGGTAAAAGAGAGCTTGTTTCATCATATCTGACGCTAGATTTGATATCTCCAAATGCGAAACATTCCGTTAAAGGAAGTGTCCTACTTTGGAAGATATCGAAGTTAACATTGGGTATGACGAATTATATCACTTATAACTTTTGCATACTTTTAGGAGGGAAAAGGCTGTTCTAGAAAGCAGTTCGCCTGAAATAAATATGCTCTGCACTGGCATTATTTGATTGCGTCATGGAACGTTTGTATGGCGTTGACGTGCTGCCAAACCAGCCACCGTTGCACTCACTTGAAGCACTTCAAGCCCATCGAGAGGATGGCAGCACAAGTGCTGAAAGTGTTCGCTGGGCCCAAAAATATTGTTATGTTTCATGCTTTGACCCTTTCTCATGGCTCCTTGCGTATTATGCGAGGTTAAGGATTTTTGTGTTGCAGTTGCATGCTCTGCCGTGGCGCTTTTCCTAAGTTATCTGATGACAAGTCTTATTATATTGTATCACACATAACACAATAACTAGGCAAAAATGGATTTGAACGGCGTTGCTACGGGCGTCATGCATGCCTGAATGGCTTCAGAAAATAGGCTGCACATCTTCCCGAGCAAGTATCTCAGAAACTAGACGGCTCTTACGTCTTAAGAATGGCAGGGCTTGGTGTTTTAAAGTAAAAATACACCCTCATCTTTTGACATCGTATGTCTGATCAAAACAAATGCAAGTTGTATAGCTCTGACGGTCGATTGGCCACATGACGGGAATGCAATGGTGAACAAACGCGACCCATTACAGTGTATTCCAATTTCAGGGTATCATTGGCAGGTCAAATGGACAACCACCTTATTGTCACAGTATGCCTTTATGCTCCTTAAAGAGGTGACAACTCTCCCTAAAAAGACATTGCCAGGAAGCGATTTGCCGCCCCTGCCACTGGGGTTTTGGTGGCCGTATTTTTGGTAGTCAAACGGCTTGATTACATCTTGACTAGGTGTTTACACCGCTCCCCAAAAGTGACTCCGTAGGAGATGGGACATTTGGGCGACTCATTGTGGCGACAGCGGGTTTTGGGGACAGTATGAGAGACAGCGGGTTTGGGGGGGGGGGGGGCCGTATGGGTTATTGTCTTTTCTAGTGACGTTGCAAGTCATTGCGCCATTGGATAAATATTTGACCGAACTAGGCCACGTAAAATGCCATTTTTCAGAAAAGCGGACTATTTCATCTTCACATGCCAATATTCACGAAGCTTTGCCGCATGTTCACAGTAAAACCGTATAAGGTGTCGTTGTTTCCTTCTCGGTACTTTAGGATAATGTTTTTGTGTGCTTTAAGCAGATTTCAGTGATGAGAGGCGAGAAAGGACATGTGAGTGTCGTATCCACCGCTCGTGATTGGCCCACAGGGGGTTTCCGACCACCACCCAGCCAGCAGAAGACTTGCTGTGCAACTCCTATAAAAGGAACGTTTTTTCACAGAAACCACAAATGTCTGTTTTTGGTGTCAACATATGGGAATGAGTGTCTCCAATTCTATCAGACATTTGTGTCGCAAATACAATATCCTTAAAGCAGGCGATTTATTCAGCGATTTATTCAGCGACGAGTTCTGACTTCGCTATATAATGGTTACGTGCGATGATTAATTATGGCACGAGAGACTATAAAATACCAATCTATTTACACTATCATGTGACCTTTCAGGTCAAAGCAGGGTGAAAGGACCCCTAACTTCATATCAACAACCCTTCTGGCCCGATTATTTAGCTTTTCAAGCATCGGAATACTCATAAGCGCAGGCATAGACGCCGTAGGCCAGCCACGCGACGTGGCGGCGGAGGTTGAACGCACCGCGACGCTCGACACGGTCTTCCTTGCCCTCTGACGTCACCTGACCTTTAGTGCGGCCGCTGCCATCAGTCGCATGTCATACATATCGAGTGCAACAGCGAGCGTCTTAACCGACTCAAACCCACCCCACGGGTGGGAAGATCGGAAGATAGGCGCTCAACCAACAACTGAGTCCTGGGACCGGACAAATGTCGAAAAGCGCGTCGCCAATAAGGTGCTTCTGCAGGGAAGAAGACCATACAGCGCCATGGACTGGTCCGAACGCATTCCCATACATGAGGGCAAACCACCATGACACCCAGCAACCTCTACACAGTTATCAAAATATACCATTCCCGACTCCGGTCGCCTAACGCATGTGGTAGCCACCCCTCCACCAGCCTTATCTATCGGTCAGTCAGCACCCAGCCCGTCCTCACTCGGCCCAAATTCACAGGCACATGTCCAGCCGTCCTCGGCCGACGGCACCCTGGGCCGTCAGGTCCCGCCCGGCCGCTTCCACTGCTTGTGCTCGGCCAGCGCGCGCTCCACCTCGGCCATGCCGGCCAGCACCTGTCTCTCCATCCAGGGCAGGCCGACCACCTGCACGCCCAGTGGCTGACCTAGTGCGCCCCGCGTCGCCTGAGAACGGCGACACCGTGGTTAGGTGCCAGATACGGTCGTGGTTAGTTGTCGGGACACAGTCCGCGGTCAGGTGTTGGACTGGGCACGGACACGGTCGTAAGCAGCTGCCAGACACGGTCGCTGGTCAGCTGCCGGACACGGCCGTAAGCAGCTGCCGGACACGGTTCGTAGGTAGCTACCGGACACGGTCGTGGTCGGCTGCCGGACACAGTCGCGGTCAGGTGTCAGATTGGGCCCGGACACGGCCGTAAGCAGCTGCGGACACGGTCGTGGTCGGCTGGCCGGACACGGTCGTGGTCAGCCAGCCGGACACAGTCGTGGTCAGCTGCCGGACACGGTCGCGGGTCAGGTGTCGGACCGGGCCCGGACAAGGTACCGGCCAGCCGAAGACACGCCCGGTGCGGCCTGGATCCACACGGCGGAGACGGTGAGGTGCCCACACAGGGTACGCGTTCAGTAGACACAAAGGCTGCAGTGCTGTTCGACGAGTTACATAACTCGTCAGTGCTGCGTGATCCAACGTCCCGGCTGCTTGTGTTGATGGCCTTTTATAGGGCTCAGCCACATCCCCTGCCTTCATCCCATAGCTTAAATCACAGTCTTATTTCACACGGCCGCGCTCGCCGACGCGCTGCGGCATGGCAAAAATAGCAGCAGAGTTGTAGATGCACTTATACACCAGTACAATACTGTGCTCAGCAAATGGACAACGTCGTGACTATCATCCAAAAGACACAATAGCGGCTTTCACAGGTGCGTGTTCAGGACTGGACAGAACGTAATTGCAATAATAGAATTACAAAGTACAGAAGTCAAAGGCATCGTAACACATGCATGCATATATATATAATAATATATATATAATATATATATATTATATATAAATATATATATATATACATATATATATATATATATATATATACTATATATATATATTATATATATATATATATATATATATATATACATATATATATATAATATATTATATATATCAAGATATACACTGACAGGGTGGTCGCCGCCAGGACCCCATTCGTACCATTCACACCGGGGAGAAGCTGATGAGTCCGCGATCCCTCACCTCGACCACCCAGCGCAGCTCCACGTGAGGGTGTGGGGTACTCCTCCAGGGCGGTCTGGTCTTCAGGCCGTCTCGTGACCCACGTTTACCACGCCCGCCGGGAAGTTCAGCACGTTGAAAATGGAAAGTGTAGACACCGCCCACTGCCGGCCACATGGCGGTGATGTGTCAGTACGTTTGGCAGCCGGCGCCAAGGTCCATCACTTACTGAAAACGCAGAAGGGCCGACATGCCGACATTGACGACAAGCCAGATGCGGGATACAGGCACATCGGGCCCAGCAATCAAAACTCCAGGTACAACTCAGATCTTTGCAAACGTCTTAAAGCAACTTGCTTCTCATAAGGCCACGTTATTCTTCATAAAACCTAATTCCTGAGGGTGTTCCACTCACCCTGCCGGTGCCACGTCATCCAGCCCCCCCCCCCCTCCCCCACACCCATCCCATCCCATCCCATCCATCCCTTCCATCCCATCCCATTTCCATCCCATCCCATCACCCATCCCATCCCATCCCATCCCATCCATCCATCCCATATCTCATCTCATCTCATCTCATTCTCATCTCATCTCATCGTCTCATCTCATCTCATCTCATCTCATCTCATCTCATCTCACTCCACCCCACCCCACCTCCCGCACGCGCTCAGCCGCTGGCGCTCAGTCAACTGGCCCGGCCACTGGCCCGCAGCGTCACCCACCGACCAGATTGCTGATCATGTCATGCGGCGGCGCCGGACACATGAAGCCGGGCAGCACGAGCAGGTCGAGGCGGGCGGCGCGCCACTGCTTCAGAGTACGGTCGACCAGCTGATTCCAGGCGAGCTTCAGTTGCACCGCCTCCACCGTGGTGCCCGTCCAGGCTGTCGGGCCAGGGCAGAGGAGGCTGAACTGGACCGACTCCGACTCAGTGGCATGCACGAGGTCACTGTGAGCTGGTCAGCACTTGTTCGCTCCGGGCATGGTGCGTCTCACGGTAATTCTGCTCATTCGGCTGACGTAGGCAATGTTTCTAGCGAAAGGCCTGGAGGCAGAGACGTATCGTTAGGGGTCGTTTTCCTGAATGGCAGGGCGAGGTACGACGTGCAACGCTAGCGGCAATCCGAATCTGATCGCTTGTGACTTGGCGGTCCTCTTGAGGTTTTACAACATGACCACAGCGAGCTAACAAATATAAAAAACGACACGCTAGTGTCAGTAAGACTTTATCAAGGACAGGTCAGAGAGGGTCACGGGTGCAATTAGTTTGGTCGACTCTGGATAAGTGTCTCGTGTCAGTGCGTGTCAATAACTGTCTTCGCAATGTCTCAACGCTGACAGGCGGTTGCGAACCTGACTCAGTTCCGGTAACCTTCCGCCACGCCAAAACTCTAACATATTATATATAAACTATATATATATATATATATATATATATATATATAAACAAAACTCTGTCATTCGCACAAGCTGACTCCGAAATCCGGACAAGAGTGAAGCGATGCACGGCGCTACTCGAGGCAAACGCCGTCCGTCGGTCCCCCACCCCTCCCTCCGATCGCTGCGGTTACCCTGGTCCTGGTCATTCCCCGCGCTCTCACGGGCCCCGGACACAGCAGCAGAGCGTGGGGCAGCTGATAAAAACCACCGCTTTCTTTCGTAGAAGGATTCAGAATGCAACCCAGTCTTTACGTCCGCCGTTGTTCAAGCATGCGCGCGCACGCACACACGTACGCACGCACACCACACGCACGCACGCAAACGCAGGCCACGCTAGCGCACACACCGCATACACACGCACACACGCACATGCTCCTTCACCCAAATTTCAGAAGTGATTGTGGCAGTAGCTTGAAATAACCCGAGCAACCAGCACAATATGTGGGGCACATTGGTTGACTATGCCCCTGGTTGTCCAATCATTTGTTGATTTTTCCGTCACTCTCAGCAGCAGGCTACCCGACGGACGTAACCTTCCATCACTAAAATTGTACGCTCTAATAACATAGCGTCCGAAAACTCCAATCCATCCTGCCGTCCACGTGATGTCCTGAGACCAACCTTTCAGTCGCGTCCCAAGGTAGCGGAAGTTGTTGCTGGTGCCCCAGGCGATGAGGACGCGCAGCCAGCGCGGGACGCAGCAGCATGGCCACGAGCGTCTCGATGCTCTTGTCCAGCCTCCTCATCAGCCGCTGCGGGGGCGACGGCGGTTGGTGAGGGACGCCCCGAAGCAAGGCCGTCCATCCACTGACCACCACCGCCGGGCGGTTGGCCCGCGCAGCCACTGGTAGGGAGGGAGGGAGGGAGGTAGGGAGGGAGGGAGGGAGAGGGAGAGGGCGAGGGAGAGGGAGGGGAGAGGAGAGAGGGAGAGGGAGAGAGAGGGAGAGGGAGATGAAGAGGGAGAGGGAGAGGGAGAGGGAGAGGGAGAGGGAGAGGGAGAGGGAGAGGGAGGGGAGAGGGAGAGGGAGGGGAGGGAGAGGGAGAGGGAGAGGGAGAGGAGAGGGAGAGGGAGAGGGAGAGGGAGAGGGAGAGGGGAGAGGGAGAGGGAAGGGAGGGAGAGCGAGATGGGGAGGGAGACGGAGGGAGAGAGGCGAGAGGAGACGGAGGGGAGACGGAGACGGAGCCGGAGAGGGAGAGGGAGTAGGTGAGAGAGGAGGGCAGGGAGAGGAGAGAGGAAGCGGGGTAGGGCGAGGGAGAGAGAGGGAGACGGGGAGGGGAGGGAGATGGGAGGGAGATGGATTGAAGAGGATGAGGGGGAGGAGGAGGGAGAGGGGAGGAAGAAAGAGAGAGGGAGATGTAGACGGAGACGGAGACGGAGAGGGAGACGGAGAGGGAGACGGGAGAGGATAGGGTAGAAGTGCTGCGATGCAGGATCCCTTTTTCATCCCCGTCACCAAAAGGTGACATGATTGTCAAAAATTGCGACGGTTCGCATGAGCTTCTACTCAGTATTCACATAAGGTGCCATCCTCACCTACGCCCCAGTAACGCAGGAGGCCAAATCCACAGTACCATTGTCCACACCCCAATCGTCGAGAAACCCCCCCATTTTGTCGCATCCCCCCCCAAAAAAACAAAAGTATTCCGCTCGTCCGGTGCTCCCATTCGCTGTGTCCACACAACGCCTCCCCCCCCCCCCCTCCCCCCTCCACGCCTCCCTTCACAGGCGGCCGTCCAGTCCGAGCGACTGTACACGCACAAGAGCCTCCTACTTGACAGCCTGCCTCAGCCAGCTTACAGGCGGCTAGGTAGCAACCACCCAAGTGTGAGATGGGTCCCCTTGAGGTGGTGCTCCCGCTCAAGGATGCTCCCCCCCCCCCTCCCCCCGCCCCTCCCGTGCATCCCTCCCTTCCACTCACACAGCGCGCGTCATGTAGACCCCGTTATCCGGTATCACCGTCCGCATGATAATATCCATGGCGGCGTGGTCCGCCTCCAGGTGGAAGGGTGCCGTCTCGTGGCCGGCCGCCTCCAGCGCCTGCACGGTCTCTGTCAGCACGCGCCGGCAGCCGGGCGTGCTCGGGAACGTGGGCAGGTCCGCCACGTAGCCGACCCGCCAGCGGCGCCGGCCGCCGGCCATCTGCGACGGAGCGACACCGACTGTCAGCCGTCGCCAGCGCCGACCAGCCATAGTGGCTGCCAACACCGGCAGGGCTCCACCGACCAGCCATAGTGGCTGCCAACACCGGCAGGGCCCCGCCGACCAGCCATGGTGGCTGCCAACACCGGCAGGGCCTCGCCGACCAGCCATAGTGGCTGCCAACACCGGCAGGGCCTCGCCGACCAGCCATAGTGGCTGCCAACACCGGCAGGGCCCCGCCGACCAGCCATAGTGGCTGCCAACAACAGCTCCGACAGCAGGGCTCCCAATCGACCAGCCATAGTGGCTGCCAACACCGGCAGCGCCCCGCCGACCAGCTATGGTGGCTGCTAACGCCTGGCCATTTGCGCGCTTCGGGAAGCGCCAAGTGTGTGATCCGAAGAATGGGTCAGCTGGCCAGACAGGGAAGCAACGTCTGTATCAACGATGTCTCCAGCACACGCACAACAAAAGGGGCCCTCGATTCGAACCAACCAATATCTCACAATGTTACCACACCAAATCAACACACTGGGTGTAAGCTTGACAGAGCAAATACCCCGTTCGAGCCTGTGCTGGACCCGCAAACCCGTTAAAATCCAGCCAACGCCACTGACAGTCCCAGCCATGAAAGCCCTGCCAACGCCACAGACAGTCCCGCCATTGGAACCCACCCAACGCCACAGACAGTCCCAGCCATTGGAACCCATCCAACGCCACCGAAGTCCCGCCATTGGAACCCAGCCACCGCCACCAACAGTTCCAGCCATTGGAACCATACTGACGCCACCGGCAGTCCCGCCATTGGAGCTGAGCCACCGTCACCGACAGCCGATGGCCGTCTGCCCCACCTGGCTGTTCCAGTAGACTCGCGGCACCAGTGGGTCCAGCCGGTACATGTCCGCCGCCTCGAGTGGCGAGGTCAGGAGCTCCATCACCTTCTGCAGGCCGGCTATCTCACGGCTGAGGAAGCCGACTGTGGCGCGTACTGTGGACACGTGACGCACCGTTAGGCGTCTGAGAAAGCCGACTGTGGCGCGTACTGTGGGCACGTGACGCACCGTCAGGCGTCTGAGAAACCCGACTGTGGCGCATACCGTGGGCACGTGACGTGCCGTAAGGCATCTGAGCAAGCCGACTGTGGCGCGTACCGTGGGCACGTAACGTGCCGTCAGGCGTCTGAGAAAGCCGACTGTGGCGCGTACAGTGGGCACGTGACGTGGCGTGAGGCGTGTCGGCCCAACTGCAGCCAACACTACACACCTTTATAGTGAGTGCAGAGGCGCGTGCGTCGAAGTAGTATGGGATGGTATTTTGGTTTCATGGGCGCGTCGGTTGGAGCGGCTATTCTGCGCCCATGACTTGGGCAGACGGTCTTCATTTCAGCGAGGCGTGCGTACCGTGCGTTAAGCGGTCTAAGTCGCGGAGCCTAAGTTAGGCGTACCAAAGTTAGAGTCAGACACAGTCACAGGGCATTAAGAGGTGATTAGATTGCATCAAAAGTTGCATGCATGATTAAATATAAAACGATCTTAATGTAAGCGACCGGTTCTTCCCAATGAAGGCGAGCAGAGACAGTCTCCACCGTGCGTGGGGGCCGAAATAACACTGGCGCTCAGCTTCTAGGTAAGGCCACTGCACGAGCACTTGGCCAACTGACAGTGAGTTACCGCATCTGGGACACGATGACGCTTGACCTCCGGACGGAAGAAAACCGTGCGCTGCGTAGGTGTGGCCGATACGGAGGCAACAGAGACTGACCTCCTCCTTCCTGCTTTTGTGGTGTGCGGAGGTCCAGTTAACCACTCTGTCCTGTACTGCCCTAAGCCTATTTCTCGCATCGCCATGGCTGTCTGTGCTCCCCTGGTCCCCAGATTGTTGCCCTTTTTCTTTCAGAAGGGCGGAAAGTAACTGTCAAAAGCAGCTGTTTAATATCAGAGTGTGGTGCGCGAGCAGAACTAGGTCGTGGGCCAGCTGCGGCCTCCTTGGCAGAAGTATCGGCCTTCTCACCACCAACCAGTCCTGGTACCCTAACAAAGACCACGCGCTTTTCGACCGAGTTAAGAACTATCACCTGTCGTCAGATCTTACTCAGTAGGGCTTGCTCAGTTTTCAGGTGCTTGATGGATGAAACATTGCCTCAACGGTCTGATGCGGTCAAACATAGCCCCCTTCCCCCCCCCCCCCCCCCCCCCACTCGGTGTTCCTCCGCCCAAACCAACGCTTCTCTAACTGCATGAAGTTCGGAAGTATAAACTGGGCGAGGCTGAGGAGTGCAACACCCTTCGCCCAGCCGCTGCAAATCAAACCACATCCTGCGCCTGCTTCCGTCTTCAAACCACCCGTGTATAAATGCACATTTCTGCCCGAAGCAAACACCTGGATCAGGTGCTCCGGGAAAAGGCTCTGATAATGCCTTTCAACAGTCTGGCCTACGATTCGACGTAAGTTCTAGTGTTGGTTCACAGTGTAAACACTTGTTAGCACATGTTAAGTTCACAAAACTCATTGTGGGCGGGGGACAAGGACCAAAATTGTCAACAACAGCAACAACAACACAAAAAACATATGCAGCGTTCGGTTCCTTTTGACGCCAAATACACGCACACATTAGCATTTGTAGATACATATGCGTGGCTATCAAACGGAAGGTGGCATGCCGGTGCGAACATCCGTTACATCACCGCCCTGCCGCAGAAGCGTCTGACCACACGCGACTGGTCTGACCAATCCACACAACACATCAGTTCTGGCTTTGGTGGACAGAGCCATTGAGAGAGACGAGACCAGACCCGCCGCACAGTCGTGCTCCGCCCTGCGGCAGAGACAGTGAGACGGGCGCGCACGCGGCGGGCAGCGGCACCGGCTGGCGCTCTCACCTCCGAACGTGGCCGGCAGCACCGCGCGCAGACCGACGCAGCTGAAAACCACACCGACCGGCCGTCAGCCACGGGGCCCGCGCCGCACACCCAGCCACATGGCCATCTGCGGCAGCACGGCACGCCGGCGTCATCTGTATCGGCCAGCACAAAAACGCCTTGCCCAGCGAGGGCGGCGTGCAGATCCGGTCTGACAGCATCTGGCTAGCCCCGCGCTGCTTAGAAGTGACGATTGGCACGTACGCAAATGACTGGTAGCTTCGAATGACTCCGCCGGTTTTCACCAGAGACCGCGAGACAACGGCCCGGGTGGGGCAGTTTCATCTAAGCAGGCCCCGTGGTCATCTGCACACAAATCGCCGTCCCAGGCCACGCTCACACACGGAGAACTAGCCGCGATCGGCGCAGCAAAACGGCCTTTAGATCGCGGGGTGAGTTTTAATTCGGTGCATGATAATGCTGTCTAGCTCTGGCCCCGTTGTAACAGCCGATGTGCAGGGCTGGAAGCTCATGACCACGTCGGTTGGGCATGCGTCGGAGATCAAACAAACTCATGTGAAAAAGCTGGCCACTAGAAGGTATTCATCAAAACAAATGTGACTGATCTCTCACAAAGCCTCCAAAACATGGTGGAAAGGAAAGAAAATCCGTTTATCACATGATAGCAAAGCTGACAAGTACGGGGACTCTGTTCACCACTTGATAGTCAGGTAATGGGCCCTGAGCTGCCACGACAGGGCTGTCACAGCAAGAGACCGTCTCTCGCCACGGACAGCCTCGCCTGACGCCCGCACGCCTGCCAGCAGACGCCGACTGACCTGAGGCGTCCGCAGGTGGGCTTGAAGCCGTAGCAGCCGGAGAAGAGCGCTGGCACGCGCACGCTGCCGCCCACGTCTGTGCCGACACCGAGGGGCGAGCCGCCGGCCGCCACCAGCACGCCCTCGCCGCCCGAAGAGCCGCCCGGTACGCGCCGGCCGTCGTAGATGTGGTCGTGACGCCCCAAACCGGGTTACTGCAACCGAAGCTGCCGAGGCAAGGATACATCGGGTTACTGCAACCGAATCTGCGAGGCAAGGGTACATCAGGGTTACTGCAACCGAAGCTGCGAGGCAAGGGTACATCGGGTTACGCAACCGAAGCTGTGAGGCAAGGTATATCGGTTTACTGCAACCAAAACTGCGAGGCAAGGATACATCGGTTACTAGCAACCGGAACTGCGAGGGCAAGAGTACAATCGGGTTAGCTGCAACCGACACTGCAAGGCAAGGTACATTGGTTACTGCAAACCAAATCGCGAGGCAAGAGTGCATCGGGTTACTGCAACCGAAATACTACGGGGGCAAGGGTACATCGGGTTACTGCAAACCGAGCTGCGAGGCAAGAGTACATCAGGTTTACTGCAACCGAACCTGTGAGGCAGGGTATATTGGGTTACCTACAGCCGAAGCTGTGAGGCCAAGAGTACATCGGGCTACTGCAACGACAATGCGAGGGCAAGAGTACATGGGGTTACGGCAACCGAAACTTGCGAGGCAAGGGTACATCGGGCGTGCTGCAACCGATCTGCGAGGCAGGGGTATATCGGGTTACAGTACCAAATTCCGGTGAGAACTTAAGGCCATGCGTCCCAGGTAGGGGTCACAAGGTGAAGCCGGGTAGGCACAGCCGAACCTGCGAGAAGCGAGTTAGGTTCAAAGGCAAGGGGTTCCGGTCACTGCAGCCGGACCTGTGAAATGGGGGGTCGAGGTCGCAAGACAAAACTCGACTCCAGGGGCGTAGCTTTACTCAGTTGGGAGGGCTGCGAACCACTTCCTCGAATCCTGAGAGGAAAGTGAGTGAAATTCAGTAAGAAATCCTTTTAGGCGTATCTAGCGTTGGTTATAGCCACCTCGTCTAGCTCAACCCTTAACTTATTGTACTCGACTAGACTCCAGGTGGATTCGATGGAGGCGAGAAGAAAGGCATCAGATCTCTACCTATCTAGATGGTTTTGCCTTATCTGCAAGGAGGTACGTTACTAGACCCGAAGCAATTTTCGGTCAGGCGGCCGCCATCCGCCTCAACCACTTCTCTAGCGGGATTTTCGGACCCAAATGCGATAGAACGGCCGGCACTGCTCTACAATTTTCACATACCGGCACGTGTGCTACGTTTTTAACAGTTTCGGCGATATTGCAGGTGATCCGCAGGGAAGGGTGCTGTTAGACACGCGGCGACTCTCAGCCAAGCAGCCGCCACCCACGCGGAGCGCATGAAGAAAGCCAATTTTCGGACTGGAAGACGACAAGACGGTCGCACCTACTACTGCAGGAAGTTGTGCCCGTCAGGCCCCCAGTAAGCTCTTTGCATGCACGCCGAGCATTTGTTCTCCACCACATTGCTTTATTAATGACATTCTGCACCTGCTCGAGCACGGCTTGTCGCCGCCTCTCCCGCCGGCCGGCCGACTGCCGTTCGCCACCTTGTGTCGGCGGCGCGAAGGTTTCTTCATAGACCTTCACCGTAAGGTGGTGCATACGCACACGCACTAGCACGTGCACACGCACGCTAACGCACGCGGACGCGCGCACGTGTGGGTGCACACGCGCTGTCGTTTTCGCCCGGCCGGCGAGCGAGTGCTCACCTGATCATGGTCTGTGGGACATTGGTCTTGCAGAAGGGCACGCCGCCCAGGTCGATGAGCGTCTGCACGACAGGCGCCGAGCGCGACGCCGGCTGGCCCAGGTGCTTGGCCAGCCCGGCTGTTGAGTCGTAGCCCTCCAGGTCGACGCAGTCCTTCACGCTGAAGGGAAGGCCGTGCAGAGGGCCGCGCGCCGCCGCCGGCAGGCGGTCCAGCACCGATGCCCGGCTCTAGCGACATCGGCACCAGTCAGCGGCAGAGTGCCAGGTCACGAGTACCAGCACAGGCCAGTGTGCAGCACTGTCACAAGTCACAACTCATTGGTCAGGTGTGCCATTGAGCAAATTTAGTCACTCAATCAGGTGATTAGTATATTATTTCACTTTTGGTAGTCAGATCTGCACTGCATTGTCATTTGCCCTGTGTTCATCCTTCCCTCACGACATTTACAATAATTATGATGACTTTGAATTGAAGTGTCAGGAAACATCATCTTGATTAATGAAAGCATACAGGTGTTAAACATTGTCATTATAGTACAAGTCTCACCTCAGCAGTTGCAACAAATTCTGTAACACAGTTGTATTTTGCTGATGCTTGCAGAGCCTGAAAATAGTGCATGTATGTCACACAAGAAAGTACAAAGTCAACAAATTATGTCAATGTTCAACAGCACATCATCCTCAGATGGGTACACTGCAAATGGAAACATCTACATATCAATGGTCTCAGACAGAGCACAGAAATACACCCACCAGAGCTTAGAAATACACTTGCCAAACACTCACCTTGGCCTGGTAAGCTCTGAGTACCTGGACGGCCTTCAACTGCCCCACCTGCAACTGTTCGATCAGTTGCAGCAGAGGCAGCTCCAGGATGTCCATCCTCTCCTCGGTGATCAGGTTACCATCAACCAGAAGGTGTTTGGTCAACTGGACACGTCGCTGCCGCTCCAGCTCCAAACGCCGCTCGACCCGTGCGTAGTACTCCGGCTGCCAGAGATGTCGCAATCTCAGCACCGAGCCTGGGCATAGCAGGCCGCCTGACGGGGTCACATAACTTGCCTTGGCTTGTGGGGGGCTTATTAGGCTGTGTCACCGAGCTGGCTACAGCAAGGAACTTTGAAACCTCAAATAGATGTTAACATTAGTGAAGCATAATATGTGGCAAAGAAAAATGGCAATACATAATGCTTTTCCATAACTGAATGCACCTTCCAATAATAAGCAAAAGCCATAGTTATGCAATAACTGGCATTTTCACAAGGCCTTACCTTTGCTGAATTTCTCTTCTTCAGCCACCAAAGCAGAGTCATTCCTGATATAGCAGCACAGCTTGCACCCACAACCCACAAATTCCACATGGAATCTGTCATGGTACTCATATGAGCTGAAGATTCTTGGTTTTGCCAGAGCTGCTGGTTCTGGTGAAAAATCAAATGGCACTTGGTGAGATATGCTACATGATCATAATGAGTACCTGTCAAAAACTCAGCACCAATCATTTTGATATAGGGTGGCCAGTGGCCTTTTCATCACTTAGCTGCTTTGCACTGATAAATTACTTATTGGTCTGTCTGGCTAGCAGAGGAACAGTTTGAAGTTGAGACAAATCCTAACCTAACCAAACCTACCTAACCTAACCTAACCTAACTAACCTAACCTAACCTAACCTAACCTAACCTAACCTAACCTAACCTAACCTAACCTAACCTAACCTAACCTAACCTAACCTAACCTAACCTAACCTAACCTAACTAACCTAACCTAACCTAACCTCCCCACCCTATATCCTCTTCAACCCAGCATCCCATTGGCATCCATGTTCCATGCCATATATAGGCGTCATGTAGTGAGCTTTTATTTAGCTGCCATGTTCTCATTTGCTTTACATTCCCCACCCAATCCCCCTGCAACCCATGGTCCTGTTGGCAGTCGAGGATCAAATTTCATGGATTCTTGTTACCCTTGGCCGGGTACATTTGTATGGTTCTTGATGCTGCTTGATGCGCAGTAATGTTGTGACCCACGCAGTAATGGCGCCGGTGTCATGGGTGCTGTGTGTGTGCGGCGCTCGGGAGCTCGCCATCGTAATTATAAAAAATTGAAGGTAAGATCATGAATCTACCTGTTTTGTGATTATTTACGATATGTCCTGCCTTAAACATGACGAATGGTTTACCTTGGTCCCGTACATTTTGTAGAGTTCTTGGTAAGCAGAAATATTGTATTTATGCAACGGCAACGCAGAAACGGCGCTGGGGAGTCCAGGCGGTGCGGTGCGCGCGGCGCTCGGGAGCCCGCCATCGAAGTTATTGAAATTCGAAGGTAGGAGCATGATTCTACCTGTTTTGACATTATTTACGATATGTCCTGCCTTAAACACGACGACTGGTGTACAATAAAAACAATATGTGTACAATACAATACAATGGTGTACAATAAAAACAATAAAAACAAATGCAGCAATGACCAACACGCCCACCCAAAGCCCCATAACGCTGCGCTCAACAACCACGCGTTGCCCACCTATCTTTGTCTGTCTGTCAGTGGGGCTTTACGACACACTCAGCCGCTGAGGCTATATTGCGTCGCCTGCCTCTCACCCTGGCGGGAAGGGCGGGCACCCACCTATCTTTCTGTTTTGTAAACAGTGTGTGTTTGACTCCGTCGCGTATTAATTGTAGCTTAATCATATTAATGCTCCCATATTACTGCCATATTAAGGGAAACATCGGGTTGTCCAAAAAAATGTGCAGCGGACGGGCTTGTTCTGTTGGCACCAGACTCTCATTTCACATTCATATTTAGGTCCATACCAGATTTCAGCGTACACTTCAGATTGACCTGAAATATATCCTGATGACGCAGTTGAGTCCTTTGGCTATCATGAGCACAGATCTAGAACCGGCTACCGCCCAATTACCGCGACACAGCCTGCATCGCACATCATGATAAAAAAGCGAACCCCTTTAATTCTCTTGAAATCGTTGTGCAGATGGATTTTGACTTCTTGATTGCCATGAACACAAAACCTAAGACCGGTACACCATTTCCGAAAGGTTACAGCCATTCAAGGTCGCTTATTCAAATGCCGATGTCGCTAAAAAGCGCGTTTTATTAACATTGGCTCAGCTTTTAATTCTAGATCTAGCGGACTTACAGGGTTGCCAGCAATTTTGCATACAGATGCTGCCCATTCTTCTGAGCACAATGAGCACAAAACCTAAGTCGGCAGCTCGCTCCACGATGAGGCAGCACGGTAGCAAACCACCTCCGATTGGCCGAGAGTTTGCGCCCCGGCAGAGCTTCAGAGCTCCGGTCTCCGATGAGCGGGTGGCCCGGCGTGACGCCACGGATAAACACAATACACACGACCGCACACACGCAGCAAACACATACGCTGAATCGTAGCGGGTGAGTTGGTTGTGAAGGGTTACACGTACTTTAAGCAGCGGCGAGTGGTCGGGCAGCAGAGCGTCGTCAGGGTATGCTGCCACTCGACAAACTGGTTTGTGACAGAGAAGGTCATTGTATATAAGCTAAGGAGCATCGGCCTGGCGATGCATCCCTGGGGCATACCGAAGCGGACCGGTTAAGTCGTCGTACCGCCTCTCGCCAGCCAGCGGCTTCTGATCATCCAGAGAGCTTCGGAACCATGTTGGGTTGATTCCGTACCATCCCAGCTTAACGGGATGCTATCGTCAACCGTGTCAAATGCTTTGCTGAGGTCGGCGGTGTTAACTGGGGAAATCTCGCCGCGTTCTGAGTTGTGTTTGATTCATTCGACAGCGCCGGGCACGGCGTCCTCGGTGCAGTGGCAAGGCCTATCTGCATATTGGTCATGAAATAAATTACTGTGGTTATGCAGATACCGAGAGAGTTATTGCAGACAATATTCTTAGCTCTTTAGACAAGCAAGACGGCAGGGAGGTCACTTAAATATCTAGAGGGCATGTATACGTCGCCTTTCGCTTTGTGAATGGGAACCACCTCGGCAGTTTTCGACCCATCGGGAACAAATGCCCTTTGTCACGGAAGCGTTGACAACGCGCTACATACGGCGGCCTATCGCTGCGCAACACCTCTTGACTGACCCCACCGACACCCCATCCAATCACCAGCTCCAGACGACGTCATGCGTCACACAGCTCCCGCCAGCTCCGGTAGGGTGACTGGCTGGGGCTGGAATGGCGCCGAGACGACGGTAGGCGGTCGCCGTTCCCGACCAGCTATTCTCAGGTTGTGCGCGATCCGGGAGCCCACCGACGGAGAGAGCTGGTTGAAGCGATTGCCCTGGTGCAAGAACCTGGTGAGAATTCGTTGTTCTGCGTGGCTGGTGGTTTGGGCTGGAAGTGCTGAGCCGGAAGGCGCCAAGAGGGTGGGACCAAAAATATCGGCCGTTGGAACTCAGTGGCTGGCGGCCGAGAAAATCTCCGCAATTCCGGACCGGGTTCCGGAAGCGGCAGAAGTCCTCTGAGACTCCATGCCTGGTCTGGTCCCGAGATCCCGCCAGGCCTGGTACGTTTTGTGCCGCCCAGACGTGACCTGGCGCAGCTCAGGACCGTCTATAAGCCATGGGCAGCCCCCCCCCCCCCCCGGCGGCACCGTATGGTATGGGCTGGACAGTGCCGATCTATGACCGTACACCATATGTATGGTGACACGGTATGCATGGTGATCCAAGATCACCATGTTCTGCAATGGACAGGTTATCGACCATGGCGCATAACCTTGATGAAGGTTTCGTGGAGATCAGTTCCATATGTTAGGAGAAAAGTGTTGCCTGCAACCAGTTTTGGTGGTCTTGAGCGTTTTTTCTTGACCTTTGACCAGACCCAAGGTTACCGCATTCTACGAAGGATAGGGGGGAGGGCAACATGGCACATCGATTGGGAATTGGCAAAGGTTTGTGTAAAACATTCGACCCCTCGTGGTGCGCGACTTGTTCTCCGCACGCGGCCACCATTTTACGCCCAAGGTGGAAGGAGCGCGGGCGCCTTCCCCTGTATGGCGCGAGTCCGGTTGCACCGGACACCTCGAGGTCGTTGGTTCCGAGATCTGTCGCCAGGTGGCCGTCATCCTGGCTGTCGGCTACACCGGCACTGGAGACGCGGCCGGCCGCTAGGTGGCGGGAACAACAGTACCAGGCATCCCTGGTGCCGCAGACGAGTACTGCGTGTGTGTGTGGGGGGGGGGGGAGGGGAAGCGAACGCCCCACCCCAGGGCGAGCGTGATGTGGGCCGTGGACAGCGGCTTCTGTAGGCACTCCGCACAGTGACCTCTATAGGGTGGGTTGCTGGGGACGGGTCAAAGAGGGTGGGACTCTGTGGCCTTTACGGGAGACTCCTTCGCGTGTCTTAATATACGTAGTTTGTTTTTATTCATAAAAATGCGCGTTTGTTATTGTATGTCAGTGAATGCATATTCACCACAAGTCGGGTGGCGTGTGTAATATACAGGTACAATGAGATTGTCTTTCCCTTCCTGCTTCGCTGTGCCAGGGTTGCTCTGTGGTGAATACTAAATCGACTCTTCCGGGTCCACACATCCATACCGCGTGGCAGGCGGAGCAAGTGTGCATTACTTTGAGCCACAATTCATTGATGTGGCCGATTGGTGCGATGTGATATTTCGCGGTAACGGCTGGCGCGGCGCGCTGGCTGAAGGCGCGAGAACATAAGGTTTGGTGGCAATCGGTCTTATAGACTCGGGGCATTGGACTGCAGCCAATTTTTGTGGTTTGGGGAGTGTTAGCGATTTTGAGCTGAGTCAGGGTTGCCATGTTCTGGAACGGATATGATACCTAGCCCGGCGCATCGACTGGTGAGGATTTGGTGGAGATCAGCCTCATAGACTTGCGTATTAGGCTGTCGGTGTACTGGTGTAACGGATTTTTGCATCTTTGGTGATTTTAGACCTGATTCAAGGTAATTATCTTTTAGAGGAATGGATTTCTATTTGAGCGTTATAAAAAATGAGGACATTGTGTCGATTGACATCATAGGGCTGGAGTGCGTGAATGACAAGTTTCGTCGGCTATTTAGTCCTCGCGTACATTTCAGAATGGAGTGCGGCAATAAGGAAGCAGGTCGCTGTTCGCTATTCGCTCGTCGTGGGGGTGTGGATCTGGATGCTGGGATTTGAATGGCGTTTGAATGGGACGTACCGAAGCGGTAAAATGCATTCGATCTTGTGCGGAGCTGGCGAAACCGCAACCTGTGTGGGCACATTAGTTTAAACACTGAGGTGGGTTGATCATATGACACGGTAGTGGGCATGTTAAAGCTCGATTAAATTATCCTGATTGCATCATCTTTGTTTGGAGGTTATACCACGTAGCCTTCCTTTGATGACCCATAACCTGCTAGCACATCCAGTGGGCAGATGATAAGCGGGTGTTCTTTACCTTCCGGCCGACAATGTTTGCGGAGGGAAGAGCGTCGGCTTAGGTCTGTAATGAGGGCCGGCTAATCAGCTGACGACACGTCGCTGCCAGGCTGGGTAAATCATCTCAATGACAAGTTTGTTGCTAGTCATGACGTCACTGGTAGAAATGTAAAAAACGAACTTCTTTTACTTCTCACAATATTACAAGGATTCACAAGCCACTTATGATGGCGACATTGAAAACCAAGCAGGTATTCGTAATTACACGTGTCCCTCATCCCACTGATGGCGTCACTGGTACAAATGAATCGGTCATCAGTTGAAAACTATCAGTGGGACACGTTTTTCGTGCTGTATTTTCCCGCTGCTCACGACGTTCCGGGAGATTGTTATGGTGTACGTGCATCTACCTATGTACTCGTGGTTTACATTCTTGTGCCATTTGAAAAATAAATGAAGAAAAATAGGCTGCGTTTTACCTTCTGCTCAGGACGTCACGTGACACGAGTTATGGTCTTCGTTTCGTATCACTGTGGAACCTGACAATGGCAGAAAACCACCTTTCCCAGTAGGCTTCCTCAAGAAACTACTGCAAGAAGGTCCAAGCAATCCATGAACAAACCGCATTCAGGCACGTCCACACTGAGCTGCCAATGGGGCCGGAAAAAGACATGAACTGGCTCAACGTTTTCGGTTACCGGCATTATTGGTCTTTAACAAACTTTCCAAAATAGTGTCCATCGGTGCAACCAGTGGTGGACATCATTTTGACACGGTTTAGACGGCAATGGTTTCTCCTAGACTTGAAACGCGGGTTCCGTGAGTGTTATGGCACCCTCACCATTAGACACTCTGAGAATGTATGTAGAGCATTAACGTTATGACAATGGATGGGAAGAATCGACTACAATATGACTATGAGCTCCCTTACTTTCTGAGACGTTCCTCCGTCTATGTTTCGGGTGCCAACGCCAGATTTTGTATTACATTTGCAGCCCAACTCTTTAATTTACCTTCCGGCCGTCTGCTATGAACTCTCCAATTGCAATGCGTGGCGTTGCTTTGCTGCGTTTGGAAACGACTGCAAAGTGTTCGAAATTATTCTTGAACAAAATGTCTTTTAGGTGAGTCCACTTCGAGTCAATAGTATGGCCGTTGATGCGCATAATCGTAATT